CCACAATAACTGCGTCCAATGAATGAATCGTAGTTAGTGCCACTAACATATTATTATCTTGCCAGGCAAGACAGAGAACATTCTCTTTTTCAATGACATGCAGAGTATTTCAGAGTATGGAATTTGAATGCTCTCAAAGCTCATCTAGTACTGCTGGAACCTGGTTTGAATGAGTGGTTCCACATGCTCCATACCCCTGTTGACGTAATTCTTTGAATAAAGGAACTGATGTAAAGTAGTTATCCATTTCAATTGAATAGGATGTGACCAGCTGTGAGATAGAGATTTCATTAGATGTGGCATTCGGTGTAGCATTCGGGGGGGTGATATTCGGGTTGATATTAGGGCCAATATTATGGGTGATATTAGAGTCGATATTAGGGGTGGCATTCGGCATGGTATTCGGTGTATTCGGTGTGGATACCATAGAAAGCCGCTTCACCAGATTCACCACCATAGATCTGGTTTTTGTTAACATAGAGAATTGAAACATAGACATTATACCCTGCCAGCAGCTAGATCAGGAAAAAGATCATAAATAGTCATGTTCTGCTAGGCCAAATATCTTATATCTTCAAGGAATTGGTTTATTAGACATCTTGTATGTAATGTTGACTCCATCCAAAATATTTAACCATGATCTCATCAATGGAAATCTTAGAGTCAGGGGTATAGTATTTTCAGCATGCCATATGAAACTTAGTAGCTAATGACTCTATCTTATACCATCAATTCTTATTTTTGACCTCCGGGCGGCGGGCCTCATGAAGGTTAGATATATGGATATATCATTTAATCTGTTCAAAACGCATATGGGTCATATAGAATTGAATGGAATGAATAGAGTCTTGTTTCAGCTCATTCTGCCAGTATAGATCAATTCAATGGAATTTATGAACTTTCATATAAAGAAGAATGCTTATAAAGACCTTTATCTCTGCTGAATTGATATTTTTCCATGAACATTGCTGAATAGAAAGCTTTGAGAATATAGATATTTCAGAAATCTCTATATCTATATCTTGAGCTTTCTCATTCTTTTTCATTTCTGAAAGCTCTGAAGCTTCATCATCAGTATCTCTAGTATCTCTCTTTAATTTTGCATAGAGATTAGTAGAATTACTGATATTTTAAAAGCATTTCTCAGAGAAGAATAGGATAAACAGAATGTATGAACTGCTAATATTGATATTTGCAGAAATATTGAAAATTGAATCTCATGAGATAGGCAATATTGAGTGGAATTTCACTGATTCTAGAGGTGGAAGTTCTGCAATAACCTCCTCAACAGACTGTTTTCATTTTCTTGATGTTTTTGTATGAACTAGAGAATGAATTAGTTAGCTAGGTCATTTGAATTGATTAATATAAGGAACTCACCATTGGATTTGGTAGGTTTCTCAGTGGATTCCACATTCGCAGGTTTGGGGGGTTCCATATTCGCGGGTAGGGGGATAGGTGGGAGAATATATGAGAATCAGGCAGGCAGGCAGACAGGCAGGGCTTCAAACATGTTGAATTCCATACACATTCTTAAGATCTACATGAGATCTTCAATCAGTGGATCTAAATGACCAATTATTATTCATATAAAATCATATAGGATTCTATTGGTTATGCCCAGGGCGCCGGTGCAGAATTCCATACACTAATTGAAACCACGCTAATTTTGCACCAACCTACGGACGAGAAATGTGATTTTTGTCGAGCTTTTAACATTTTTTTGTTGTTTTTCTAACATTACACAAATATTAACAAGTATTTCTCTTTATTCAGAGTCAGATAACAAACTGAATCTATTATTCACAACTTCAACTGCTATCATATTCTGCATATGTGTATCCCTTATTTTGTTTGAACAGAGGTTCTTGGTGACTTCTGTGATCTAATTTTTTGCCTCGCAGAAGATTCAGAGATAGCAGATTCAGAGAGTTGAGAATTCCTTCTTTTTTATTTATTGCTATCATTTACATCAGTAGAGACTGAGTTATTTGTCTGTACTGATGGCTTTCCTGATTTGGGAGCAAATATACATTCTTTTGAATTTGCAAAGTGAGGCTCTTTACAATTGGCAACCCATTGGAAGTTGAGACGTTGAAACCATTGGAAGTCGAACCCGCTGAACGAACCCGTTAACCCGTTGGACCCAAACCAGTGGGATGACACCATTTAAAAGTCAAACCCGCTGGACATGCCCGTTGAAGGTTATAGGGTTAGGGTTAAACTATCCAAGTTATACATAGTGCGTGGTCCGACGCGCCCCCGTCCGATTTTCTCCGTCCCTGATTGGCCGCCCGTGCGTGCTCCCGCTCCCGCCTCCGCGTGCCCGCAGTGGGGCCCGGTCACAGTCGAGCTCCCTCTTCCCTTCCCTTCCGCGGCAGCCAGCCACCCCATTACTTCAAACTTTGCATGTAGGCCGTAGTGGATATGAAATACAACATATCCAAATGAAAAGCGATAATTCCGTCGGGAAGGGGTTACATTGTGGTGTCAAAGTCAATGAGTTGAGGTGCGATGTTTGATGGGGTAAGCCACCAACCCAACCAGACCCAACTATATATATATATTTTCACCCAGGCAACGGAGCGGTGCAAAGCGGTGCAGGATCAACAAAGTAAATAAAAATAGCAAAACATATAAGAAAACTGAAAGGCTTCATTCTGGAGTGATTTTAAACACAGAAAAACAAACATTCACACCAGATCAGATCTGTCAAGTTTCACACAAAGACACTGAATGAAGGAAATATATATATATTCAATGCACAAGACAGACCCAGCATCGACATGGAACATCAATTATTTATCCACTGTGAATCATACCTCATTATCATATGCCGCCGGTGCAAGCACGCTGTGTGGCCAACAGAGATTGAACGGCATCTGAAAGGCAAGGCCCATCAGCTAAAGCATGCGGTGGTTCAGCAGATAAAGGAGAACATTGAACAGTGGGACAATGTGGCTCGAGATACTACACAGTTAACACTGCCCACAATACTGAATGAACCAATCCCGGAACTACCCATTCATGATGGCTACAGGTGCCAGCGGGATCCCCAGTGCCAGTATGTGGCATGGAACATGAACACCATGCGCAAGCACTGGGAGAACAAGCATAGTTGGTCGCCATATCCCAGACGTGGTCGTACATCGCCCTCAATGCGTACGGGCAGCACAGGATGAGGTCGACAGATGATGCTCTACCGTGTTTTTTCACGCACATATTTGTATCCGGGCAGGGACTCCTCCTCCATACATATCCTTCTTAAGGATATACTGTATCTTTGAAGGCTCCAA